CGGTGCACAGAAAGGATCTGGTCGAGAACAGCTCCAGCTGTCAGGGCCTCGTGAAGAGGGGACAGGAGACCAAGGTCTGGGCCCCCTGTGGTGGAGCCCTTGATACAACACCCTGCACAGAGCTGGGCTCGTGACAGCTGTACCTGTGGCACGGAGATGAACCAGAAGTTGGGCTTCCTCCCCCTGTCCCGCCAGCCTCTGGGTAGACCTCGGGGCTGACTGCTTCTCTCCGACCTTAGTCCTGTGTGCCCAGGAAACAGAAAGGCCCGCGAGGATGCACAGCTCTAAGTGCGCCTTCCCGTGGACCTGCAGCCTCCACGGCGCGGGTGCTGTGAAACTTGCACGCTGAGCTTTTGTCTGCAGAGGTTTCTGGCAGGCAATGCCCTCAGCACCGGCAGCAGCGGATGCAAACCCTTCCTGGAGGACACCACCTTCTACCTAGGTCTCAAAGAACTCTCAGAAACAACGTTTAGGATTCTGATGGCATAGCCAAAAATTATACAACAAAGAAGGAAACCTGGCTCTGGGAGCAGGAAGTGAGAAACAACCAAAGACTGACCCCAGTTTGCTGAGACTTCAGATGCTTCAGGCACAGAATATAAAACGGCATGTTAAACACAGTGAAAGAACTTGAGCAGGATCATAGGATCCCACACATGAGCAAGGAGTAAGAGACCGTAAAATATGACCAACAACATTTGACACAGAACCAACCAGGGCCTTATAAAATAAAAAATGATTAGTATTTAAAGTTACAAAAAATCTTCAATAAATGACTCTAACAGAGGCTAGAAATCACTGAACAAAGATTAAGTTAGCAGGCTGAGAGGGACACCACAGGAGACGGCTTAGGAATCAAGACGCGACAGTGAGGAAGACAGACACGTCCTGTCAGACTTCTGGAAGGAGGGAAGAAGAAAGGAGGGGTAGCGGCTACACAGCCTCCAGAGCTGAGGAGAGACGTGCTCCATGGATCCAAGAAGCTTATGAAGAAGGCAACAGCCATATCACACCTAGGCACGTGATGGTGAACCTGCCAGAGACCCGAGGCAAGGACAAGACCACACAGGGAGCTGGACACGTGTCGCAGGAAGGAGCGGCGAGAAGCTGACAGCAACAGTGTGGCGTGTAGAAGACACTGGGAAACACCTCCATGGGCACAGAGAATGTCACTGTCAACTGAGAATCAAATGTCCGGTGCATAGCAGTGCTCTTTCAAAACTCAGAGGAGACAGCCATTTAAAGACAAACGAGAAGTGGGAAGGTCTGCCATCAACTGGAAAACAAATTCCAAAGCAGGTACTCTGGACAGAAAGAAAGTGATTCCAAAGAGAAGGACTGATGTGCAAGAAGGGAAAAGCAGTAGCTACGCAATGCACTCTTAATGGATACTGACTCTATGCAACAATAACTAAGAGTCGCTCAGGAGAAAAAGTAAGATACCATGAAAGTACACACACCACAGAGTATGAATCAGGAGAGGGTAATTAGCACCGTTGTCCTCTAAGATTACTGGCTTTTCAAGAGGAACATGAAATTACTATTTAATGTGAGACATCATTAGGTAACCATATTAATATTGCTGGGGTACTTTGGGGTAATCCTGGAAGAATAGAAATGGTTGCGTAATTTAAATGATTTAAAATCTCTTGTCAAAGGTAGACTGTCAGACTGGATTTTTAAAAATCCAGCAATACACAAAACACATATAAAGCATAAGGAAGTAGAAAAGTTAATAGTAAGAGAACAGAAAAGATTAGACAAAGACCCAAAGAAAGCTGATATAATAGCTAGTGGGGAAAAAAGCTTTAAGGTCAAAGATATTACTACAGATAAAGACAGTCTCATAATTGGTCCATAATTGGTTTTGAAACAAACAGCTCAATTCACTAGGAAGATGTATAACATGCAGTTTGAATGTTGTAATAAAACAGCTTCCAAATATATAAAGCAAAAAAATTGACAGAACATTTAAAGAGTAATAGACAAACTGATCATCAGAGTGGGAAATTTTAATATTCCTCCCTCTTCAGTTGATTGATCAAGAAAACAAAAAAAAATCAATGAAGATATAAATACAATTAACAAGCTTGATGTAATGGGCATATTAGAAGACAAAAATTGTAAAAGCCGCCTCTATTTTTTTTCGAACACAAATGGAATAGATGTGAAACTGACAATATTAGTCCAGAAAGTACTACAACAAATTTCAAATGCTTCAAAACAGACAATGTTCTCTAACCAAAAGCTTAAGAAACAGTAACCAAAAGACAGCTAGAAAATCCTTTATTTGGAAATTTAGAAATACTTGCAAATAAATCAGGGTTATTAGAAGCACTGCTGTTGTTCAACAACAATAATGGAATTAGGAAATATTTAGAACTCAGCTATAACAGAAAAACTGCGTATAAAAATCAGTAGGAATAGGAATACAGCCAAAGTGGTCCATGGAGGGAAATTTATAGTCTTGGATGCGTAAGATTGAAAATAATGGACTAAGGACGAAAATTAGATGCTAGAAAGAGAACAACAGAATAAGCCCAGATGCCATAGAAGAAAGGAGATTATAAAGATGAGAGCAGAAACAGTTGAAATAGAACATAAATATATTAGCAGGAGTATTAACAAAACCAAAATTTGTTCTTTGAAAAGACAAATAAATGTGAAACTTCTGACCATACTGACTACAATATGATGTCAATAAATATGCAAAAGAAAACAGAAACAATAATAGCAAGAACTATAAATGTAAGAGGCAGTATGCACAACTTCATATGCAACAAATTTGAAAACTTAACAAAATGGACTCCAGAAAAAACGGATGGCCTAAATAATCATTCAGTCATTACAGACATTAAATCTATAGTCTAAAATCTTTCAACAAAGGAAATGCCAGATCCAGAGAGTTTTGCTGAAAAACTTCACTGAACACTGAAAGCAAACGTTATTTCACCTTCCATTAATAACCCTAAAAGACAGAAAGAGAGAAAACATCCTCAAAGCACTCTGTGATGCTAGCATTATCTTGATACAAAACACTTGGCAAGGGAAATATGTAAACAACAACAAACACACAAAAACCCAAACCCCAAAGAACAGACTGATCTAACCGAGGACATAAGAGTGAATGATCCAACAAAATGTTAGCGAATCAAATATAGGCATGTATGAAAATAACAATGCTAAATAACAAATCAGCTTTATCCAGTGCAAGGTGGTTTTAAGATTATAAAAGTCAAACAATTTAATTCACTACACTAAGAATCAATGAGAAAAATAATATGAGCATATCAACAGATGCAGAAAAGTGCTAGATAAAATTCAACATCCATTCTTGATAAAAGCTACGAACAAACTAGGATTAGAAAGAAACCTCCCTAACCCACAAAGGAGTATATTGAAATTTTAAACAGACTTCAGCAAACACCAGATTTAGCGGTGAAGAAATAGAACACATTCCATCGAACAGCAGTGACAAGAGCACCCCCTCCCCCCGACCATCACAACAGAGTGACCTCATATGGGAGGTTCTGGCCAGACAGTGAGGGAAGCTGAAGAAAGAAAAGGTATAAGGATCAGAAAGAAAGAAACAAAACAAGTCCCTCCTTGCAGAGGCATGCTGTCCATGCAGAAAACTTCACAGAATTCACAGGTCAACTATTATAAGGTAGTTGCTTTATACAAAAACCAAAGTTTAAAAATTGGTTGCATTTCTAAACACCAGCTGAGAGACAGGTAGAAAAATGCAATTTTAAAAGATGTGATTTACAGTGACAACAAAATACAAGGCATTTAAGAGTAATTATGAGAGTACTCCAAAAAGTATGTGGCAAAATGTATTAAAAGGTAAGTTTAGTTTGGTGCAAAAAAAGTTCTGAAATCATGCAGCACTGTTTCACAATATGCATTTTCCATGAACTTTTTCAGATATTAACACATGTTTAAGATCTGCCATGGAAACATTACACAAGTTTATGGAAAGCCTTAAAAGAGCCTGCGAGGGGCCAGTGCCATGGCACAGCCAGTTAATCCTCTGCCTGCAGCACCGGCATCCCATATGGGCGCCGGTTTGAGTCCCAGCTGCTCCCCTTCCAATCCAGCTTTCTGCTGTGGCCTGGAAAAGCAGAAGATAGCCCAAATTCTTGGGCCCCTGCACCCACATAGGTGCTCCTGGCTTCGGATGGGTGCAGCTCTGGCCGTTGCGGCCATTTGGGGAATGAACCAACAGAAGAAAGCCCTTTTTCTCTGTCTCTCCCTCTCATTGTCTGTAACTCTACTTTTCAAATAAATAAAGAAAAAAAATTTTTTTTAAAAAAAGAAGCCTATGCAAACAGAGATTTACAATGTTCATGGACTCAAAGATTTGGAATCAAAAGACACCAGTTCTGCTGCAGTTGATCTGCAGCAGAATATCCTGATTCCAACAGGATATTCTGTGGATCTGGGCAAGATACTTATAAAACTCATGACAGAGAATAAAGGGCATGGCAAAGAAAAAAAAAACTAAATGAAAGATAAACATGAAAAAGATGTCTTAGCAATGCAAAACTAATCTCAATAACATAGATCAATGTTAGGGACTTAATTCTGACATCAATTAAGAACACCTGCACATATGACATGCTTACATTGACATGAAATCCGAAGGCCAACAGAGCTGAAAATGTACTAAACACACAGAAGTTAACAGTCATCTCTGAGGGTTACGGCAATGAAATGGGGTGGATGAGGGACACACATCACTAATGCAGCTGTGATGACTTTTCCTTAGGTTGGATGATGGCTACACAGGTGTTTGTTGTAGTTGGTGTTCTTTCTATCTTACTTATACGTAATAAATATATTTTTTATCTATGCAGCACTTAATCAAAGCCATGTCAAAGAATTATCTGCAGAGACTCCACCACCAACCAAGTTGTGGGTTTGTAAAACCCTTGCATACCAACTGCCCCGACCTGGCCCTACTCAGGGCACACTGCCCCCCGCCCCCAGAGCCTTACCTTGGCAGGATTGAGCGCTGTGATGATCCACACGCAGTGTGCATTGTTGTCGTACTGAATGGGGAAATTTGGGGAGGTGATGATGCCCGAGGGACCTCGGAGGTGGGCATCGCACATGCGGGCTGCCAAGAGGAGAGGAGAGGAGAAACAGGCCTTTCAGATTAGACTCGGTCCAGTCCCCCTTCCTGCCTCCCACGTCCTGCCTGCACAGAACAGATGGACTCTGGAGAGACCCAGACCCCAGACATAACCTTTGGCCTCTGGTATCCTTCTTGCACAGTCCTCAGCAGGTTCACCTGGAGATCACTCCAGAGCCTTGGTGTAGGGGCAGTCTTCGTGTGCCTTGTCCTGTCCTGCTGCAATGCAGGCCACAGTGGGCTTCCAAGGCAAGCCGGGAACCTCCCTGCAGCCCCTGCCCACACCCATCACCCTGACTCCACCGTGGGAATGGGTTAAAAACCTGTTGCCCTAAAGCTAGGTGGACCCCCGGTACCTATGGGCCTGCTAAGCAGCCCAGTCCTCACTCCGCAGATCTGCCCGTGTTTGCCTATTTCTCTCCAATTCTCCAAACCAGCCAATGCTGCTCTTCACCCAAATCTGCTCAGTCAGGAGGCTGATCTCATTCCAGGTCCTGCCAGCCACCGCTTTCTCCCTTGTCCACCTCACTGGCCTCCCAGAGTGGCATCTCAGGATGTCCTTGTCCAGGCCACCCCAGCAGGTCTCAGGTGCCAGGCACACAAGGCAAGCTCAGTCCCATCAAGCCCTTCCCTCACTGTTCCCCGCACTCAGCTCCTGCCTGCATCAGGGCTTCCGACTGGAAGCATAAAGATTCAAGGTGAATTAGAAGAAGTGCTCTACTCAAGTAGATATAAAGTGGTATCAATCACAGCTTAATCTAATTAAGCTCTTTAAAATAGCTTCTAAACTAATTAGATTAAGCAGTGATTGATAACGGTTAAGGTACCACCTTGTACCTAGCTGTTTGCTTTCCTTCCAGACGCCTGCTGCAGTCCAGGCCACTTCATTCTTCAATGTTAGCGCTCAGCTATTTTCATCAAGGATTCTATGAGCCCGTTCCAGGACTGCCCACTCGGCAGTTCATCCTAATTGTAGGCAAAGCGCCTAACAGTACGGAGCTGTGAGCAAACGCAACACGCCCGAGTATATAAAATCAAAGTCATATCAAACCTGGTTTCTGCTGATGGGCACGAGTATACTAGTGCACCTGTCCACATGGGGCCAGCATCATGACAAACCTTCCGTGGACAGCCTACCTAGGAGGGTCTAGGAAGTAAGATCTGTGCTCCCAAACATAATGAAACTCTTCCCATTTCACGAACTCATCCTGTGCCCATTCAATCCAGAGTTCATTAACTGCCTGTTGCTGCCCAGGTGGCGGGCAGGGAGAAACATCTGACTCGATGCTCCTCCCTGAAGGGTCCCGGCCAGTGTAGGCAGCAGGTGGGAAAACGATTATGATCCAGCAGAGCAGGTGTGGTTAGAGGGGTCTCTGCAAGGGGCTTTTGGGTCAGGATTGCTCCCTCCTCTCTGCGTCTGGCTACGTCTCCCCATCCCAAAATGAGTTTGGATACGTCTCCAGAGGAAGCCCCTCTCCTCACGTGTGCCTTTAGCTCTATGCTGAGAACCACTTAAATGCACAGATTTTTGCATTGGATACAGGTGGGCCCTAAGGGGGGGGAGGGCTGGTTGAACAGCGGGCAGGCTGCCAGGTGTGCCATCTCAGCCTCCCGCATCTAAATCCCTTTACTGGGTGTTGAAGTTTGAGTGCATTAGAAAACCTCTCTGGTTCTGCTTCCTTGTCTTTACAATGTGGTGGAGGTGATAAGACAGCATTGTAGGCCGGCGCCGCGGCTCACTAGGCTAATCCTCCGCCTTACGGCGCCGGCACACCGGGTTCTAGTCCCGGTCAGGGCGCCGGATTCTGTCCCTGTTGCCCCTCTTCCAGGCCAGCTCTCTGCTGTGGCCCAGGAGTGCAGTGGAGGATGGCCCAAGTCCTTGGGCCCTGCACCCCATGAGAGACTTGGCTCCTGCCATCGGATCAGTGTGGCGCCCAGCCGCGGTGCACCGGCCGCAGCGCCCATTGGAGAGTGAACCAATGGCAAAGGAAGACCTTTCTCTCTGTCTCTCTCTCATTGTCACCTCTGCCTGTCAAAAAAAAAAAAAAAAAAAAAAAAAAAAAAAAAAAGAGACAGCATTGTGCAGCGATGAGCTAAGCTGCCACTTGTAACACTAGTACCCCATTTCAGAGTGCCAGTTTGAGTCTGATCCAGCTCCTGGCTAAAGCAGTAGAAGATGGCCTAAGTGCGTGGGCCCTGCTACTTACATGGGAGACCTGGACCAGCCATCGCCATTTGAGCAGTGAACCAGCAGATGGAAGATCTCCCCTGCCCCCATCACTCTCCCCTACAAATAACTAATTATTCATTTTAAATGTGGCCAAGATATCACTTCATGGAGCCCCAGGGAGGTTGAAATGATATGAGACGAGGCATGTGAAGGCTCAGCCAGGCCTGGATGTGGTCAATATTCAACAAAGCGGCCCGGGACTCTACCTGCCACATCCATTCCTTTCTCTATGCCCAAAATTGTGCCCAAGGCTGAGGATCTGTTTTCTGCCTTCCCTGGTTTCTTTCTGGTCATGCTTGAGACTCACAGAATCACTAAACAAATTAGAACAAGATCATCAAAACCGTGGCCACGAACCAGCCCACCTTTGCCAGGGGACCCGTGCCTTCAGAACTGCAGGCCAGCCAAGAAGCCCACACACCTCCTCCACCTTTTCTGGAAAGTCAGAGTCTGCTGCCAGAACCCTTAGCTTCCGACTCCATTTATCCTGCACTTGTTTCCAAGAATCAGACGGTATTTGCAGTCTGTTGACACATGCTGAAGGTAATTAGAGAGACAGGGCAAAAAGGCATTTCCCACTTACAGTACAGAGGGGTTTAATTAAAATATTACGATGCTGCAGATAGCATGGAGCACCTTAAAATACACTCTGAATGCAGCATCAGCTCCTTTTTGCCTCCAATATCTGCGCAAGACCAGGGGTTCTGTGGGCAGACAGATGTCCCCCTGGGAAGCCCACCACCAGACAGGGAGCTCACCGTTGGTGACCACTGAATAAATGAATGAGTGGATCTTGCAGTGCCTCCACTTGCCTCTTCCCACCCAGGGCTCCTCTAGACAGGTGACAGTGACACTTCTAAGGTGTCTAAGGTGACTGAGACCTTCTAAGCCCGAGTCTTCCTCTGAGCACCACTGACCTGATGAGGGCCGTATCACAGTCCAGGGCACTGTGAGGAGATACCCCCAACCCGCATCCACTGCCAGGTGTGGCACTGAAACAACAAGCCAAGTGCTCCTCACGTAAACACCCGTGCTCTTCTAGCTTCTCCCCAAATCTCCTCCCCCTCTCCGTTCTGTGCTATCCTCCTGGCTTCTCCTACTACAGACCTCCCCTCTCGCCCTGTCCTCCGTCCTCTGGTCCCACCACCCCGCCGACCAATCCTAAGGTGCCCTAAGCCCTACTTAGAGCTGCAATGGCTTTCAGACCTCCTGCTCCAATTCCTACCATGACTGAAGCCCAGTGCCCATGCCCCCGCCTTCTGTATTTCTTTCTACAGATGTTTGCTGGGCCTCGAGAAGAACTCATTCTTGCCCGCTCCAGACCTCCATTCTGAGGACACATTTTCCCTCTGCTCATCAGCCCCCTGCTGCCTTTTCTCCTCGCAGGGCCCAACTGACACATCCTTGGCCACCGTTACGAGTTTTCTCCTGCAAATCCTCCACAAACCCTTGTTTCCTTTGCTCCCTGGACAACATCAATTATGGAGGAAGCTCTTCGCCTCCATTCTCCATACCTGCTCCCACACAGATGAGCTTAGCTGGGAGAAAGACCACTCATAGGAATAGGAAGACTGATGACCCTGCAAGATCACGATGACCTATCTCAGAAGAATCCTAGACACTGCCTGGCGACCCTACCATCTCGTTCCGCCAGCTCTCGCTCTCCTGCATTCTCACACCTTCCGCACGCCTCTCTTGGACCTCCCCCGCTTCTTCTCACCTCCCTTCCTCTGGGCTGGTGATCTGAGAAGCCATCTGGCAGGCACATCCTTCCTTCCCCTCCCTAAGTGTGCAATCCTGCCTGCTTACGTGCTCTTTGTCTTCCTCCTGTAGCAACACAGCATATCCTCTCTTTTTGGAGCCCAACCTCTTCTCACGAGATCTGGCACCCCTGCCTTCTTTCCATCCCAAGATCAGCCCTGTTCACAGCTGGCCCCGGGGCCCTGCTGTCCTGAGACCCTGGGAGGTCCGACTCTCAGATCTTAAACTGATCATTCCATTCCTTCCATTCCTTCCCTACCACCTGTGCCTCCAGCAGAGTGAGTCTGGCGTCACTGTCCCTCCAGTCCTCTGGCTCCTGCATCTCTTCCCGTCTCTTGATCTCCTGACCCTTCCTCTCTCATCCCTCTGCCTGGACCTCAGGGCTCCTCACTGAAACCATTCGCTCCCTCCACACCTTCATATCTGCTTGGCAAAACGGCCGCCTTTGAGCGGCTGTACCGTCCACCTTTTCTATTCTTCATCCTTGGTGCCTAGGGGCCGCCAGGAGAGCCACAGATTGATTGACGGTCTGTCATCATGATGGAAGTCTCAGCCCAAGTCAGTCCTCTCTTCCTTCAGCTCCCTCACTGATTCTTTGCAGAGACAACTTCAAATCTTGGGCCCTGGGCTGAGCCGTGTAACCTCAATAATTACTTTTGAGTCATTATTATCCTTGAACTTCTCTGGAGATCTGACCCTGCTGACCCTTCTCCCTTTGTGAAACTCACTTTCTTTGGCTTCAGTGAGCCTGTTGGATTTTCTCTCTGGCCCTCTTCAGTGTCTTTCTTCTATACTAATGCCTTACAAGTAGTTTTAAAAATCTAGATAAAGGTTATATGGGTGTTCTTTGCACATTATTGCAACCCTCCTGTAAATTTTGAATTATATCAAAATAAAGAGTTACCAAAGAACAGAAAGGGTGGAGGGGGAGTTGTTCTGCATGGATCCATCCAACGTGCAGACTCAAGGATGTGCAGGCGCAAGGACTGAGCCTTGGAGTCAGCGTCTGAAGCTCGGCTCCACTGATTGGCTTTGTGCCCTTGGGGAAGTTGGTCATTCTAAGCTTTAGCTAAACATAAAATATGGTTATTACCATGCTCCTCTATCCAGAAATTATGAAAAATGCCTGGTGCAATGCTTTCGACAAGTATAAAGAGCTTAACCAATGGGAGTGTTATCATTAGTACACATAGATAAGGGATTCAGGGACATTCTCAGGGTTGGAGCAATGGGGCATGTAGTCTAGCGCAGTCAGTGTGCATCACCTAGGGACACCAACGGAGAGGAGGGGGAGAGAAAGGAGAGCAGGGGAGAGAGATGAAAATAGAACTCTGGGCGACCATACTGTTTCAGGGGTGGGCCATGAAACTGATCCCATGCAGGGCACCAAGAAGGAAAACAGCCGCCTCTGAGTATCACGGCCTTGACTTCAGCCTGGCTGGTGCTGTATTTGCCATGTTTCTCTCCCATTTCACAGATGAGGGGAAAGATTCATAGCATTTCAGGGTGGTTTTCTCCTGTGCCACATGGTTGATCAGTAGTAAAATAAGAACTTGAATTTAGGTCTCTGAGTTCCAAATCTGAAATTCTATCCCCACCAAAGGATTATGCTTATATTCGTGTGTATAAGTATCTGAAAAGTTCATGGGACGTGTGCATTACGAAAACCTGTATGTATTTGAAATCACCAAAATAGAGTTCTCTCTTAATTCCATTTTTATACAAACTTCATGAGGTGTGTGTGTATGTGTGTGTGCAGATTTAGCCCAAAAGAAAAAAATACATGGCTTTCTGTTAATGATTTACTTGGGGCTGGACAGTCCCTGCCCTCCACCAACACCAACCTGTGGTCACAACAGACCAGGTCTCCCAGATGTCAGTGGGTCCTCTTGCTATGCTAGTGGTGTATGAACAGCATTCTCTGGAGCCCCAATATCTCTGCTTAGAGGCTACTGAGAGTGGCCGAGGGAGAGGTGAGTGCAAACCTCCTGCCCCTGCTCTCATCAGAGAAGCTCCTCTTGCACCTGTCTTACTTACTTTCTGCAAAACCTTATTTTTAAATGTTGGGCTCCATCATGGCAAGCCCCACATTAAACTACTCTGCCTCTCCCTGGGTCTGAGCACCCTTGGTTTAAGAGTGTTTCTTTCACACTGACCACCGTCTCTAGGAATCCAATTTGAAGCATGTCTTCTGGTCCTCTGGTGGGAGGCAAAGGAAAGAAATCCCCTGAATAGGTCTGATCTCAAATTCCAAAGTGAGGGCACGGCCCCAGCCGGTTCATCTGCTTCAATCCCTGAAGCACTCAGGTGGTCCTCAAACGCCTGTTGAGACCCTCGCATGTGCCAGGCTCTGTGTTTTAGTGGAATCAATTGTGTGGAAAAATGAGTATTTAAAATCAAATCATATTTTAAATGCATTAGAGGAAAAATAATACCAGTGTGGATGATGGCAGTCCTTTCTAGAATGTAATTTTTTGGTAACTTGTTTCGGAGTTAGAGCTTCTTAGAATTCAAAGAATTTTGTCTCTTTTTGTTCTTAGAGTGGGGTTCACTTAAACTAAAAGAATCGCAATTATAATAGGAACTCCAATTAATTAAAACCAAAAGATTTTAGAAGAAAAACCTTGAAAACTGCCAACATAAAGAGACCCTTGAATCTAATATCCGTCTCAGCCCTGGGCCTTCAGATAAGCCCAGGACAAATCATGAAGTCCAAACTCCAAACCAGGAGCCTTCCGCCTCTCCCTCTCTCCCTCACAGTGGTCTTTGTGAGGGGAGCCAGAGAGAGAGAGACTGGGGCTGGGTGTGTGACTCAGCAGCTGAGATGCCTGCATCCCTCATGGAGTCCCTGGGCTTCAGTCCCGGGTCCCATCCTATTTCCAGCCTCTGGCTAATTCATATCCTGGGGGGCTGCAGCTGATGACCCAATGGCTTGGGTCCCTGCCACCCCTGTGGAAGACCTGGATGGAATTCTAGGCTCCTTACTTGGTGTGGCCAGCCCTGGCTACCATGAGCACTTGGAGAGTGAACCAGTGGATGGGAAATCTCTCTCTCTCTCTGCCTCTCAAAATAAAATAAATAAACAAAAAATTTAGAGGGAGACAGAATGGCATGAGGGTGCACCTCTGTTGGAAATCCATGCCCCGCCACACTTGGGGCTGGTGGCTGTCCACACAATGACCTAATTCAGTCTGATAATCAGGGGGCAGGGCAGGTTTTATTGGTCCTGTGCAGGGTCAGCAAGTGACCAGGTGGCAGGACTGTGATCTAGATCAAAGTTTGTAGGGCTCCCAAGCAGTAGCCCTGCCATGTGACTGGTGAGGATGGTGAGGAAACCAACTCTGCAGGCCTCCAGGGCCGCCAGAGGCCGAGGCTTGCTCTGGGACTTGAGGAAGCTGTATATGCACAGCGCTCAGCCCACACATGTGTGCAAAGAAATCTCAAAGACCCCCCAGCATCACTTCTCAACAAGCACGTTCAAGGTCACTGCCTCACCTCTTCTTCAAAGTCATGCCATGAAGCAATGTTCTATTATTACCTCTTTTTAGCAGGAAAAAGATAAAAGAAATTTAGAGGGGTGAAGAAACTGGCCCAAGGGCACACAGCTAAACTGTAATGATGGCTGGACTTGAACCGTGGTCCCCTTCCTCTTCCTCCTCAGTGGCAGCGGATGGAGAAAGCTGAGCCCAGTGCTCAGTGAGGGTGCAGCAGCAAATGCAGAGCCCAGTGGGCCAGAATCACTGCAAGTGCTCAAACGAGGCCCACAACACATTTGGGGAAAAGAAGAGTCCATTATTCAACTGTGGACTTCCTTTCAAAGCACCAGAGCTCCCCCCCCCCCCCCCCCCCGCAGGTGTTCATGAAAACAATCACCACCACTAGAAAGCAATGGCAAGTCTTGGACAAAAATCAGATCCCACCACCGCCTACAGGCATTGCTGTGTAGGCTTCTAGAAAGGAATCCTGGAAGGACAGATCGGCCAGGGCACCCTCGGTCCTCAGGCTGGATAAACCAGGCCTTTCCACACAGCTGGTGTCTTGACTCTCTCATTCAACACACGTTACTTGACACCTTCCAGGTGCCAGGCCCAGTTCTAGGTGGTGAACACAACAAAGTTCTCGTCCTAAAGGGCTGCTCTTCCACTGTGCCCTTGCTAGCGCTTCCCAGTTCATGAAATGTTCACACATCCAGAATTCCATTTCATCCTCACATTAGACACATGGGTAGTGGACACTATTAGCTATGTTTAACAGGTAAGAGAAGAGGCCCAGGAAAAACAGGCAGTTTGCCCAACTGCCAATCGTGAGTTGTACCAAGACCTCACCTTTTAAGGGAATGATAAAAAAAAAGCAGCTATGTCGAATTCTTGAAATAATTAAGTGAAAATCAGTAAAAATGCAAAGTGCATTATGAACCGTGGATCACGGCCACCTCAAGGTTGAATAGAGATGAATAAATTGTAGGCTTATTTGAAAGATATTTCCATGACCTTCTTCCAGGTTATTTATGGACACATTAATGAACAAGGAGTGGGCTTCGTTTCTAACTTTGCCATCTTATGTGTGATAATGATCTAGGTTCTTTTTCCTGGGCCCCTCTTATACTGCATGGATCTCAGCCAGATGCCTATGCCTAGTGAGAGGTGAAATTCTTAGATCAGAAGAATCCAGAATGAAACTTTAGGGGGAAATGGGCCTTCTCTTCCAAAAGGGCACTCAAAAGAGCATCTGGGGGCTTTTGAAAGGACACCCAAGAGCCCCGTGCCCAAGGGCTCTCCTTGCTGGTGTCCAGAGCGAGCGCAGGAGAAGCACCTGTTGTCCTTGCCCCAGTGAAGGCACACTCCCAGGTCTGGTATTTCCAGGTTTTTGGTGGGGAGAGGGGTGGGGGCTGGGCCAGCCCAGCCATGTGACATCGGGGAGTGCGCGTGACAGGACCTTGAGGACAAGATGCCCGGGGTGGGGTGAGAAGAATCTTGCAGAGAAGCCTTGTGATGCTTTGGTCTATGTCACTGCACAGCTAGGAGCATTTCTTCAGAAGTGACAGCTCCATTGTCTGCAGTGTGGGAAAAGAAACAAGGGCACTGGGGAGAGGGGTCGGGATGCACATGTGTGACAATGGAGGAATCGAGGTGATGGCAGAGAAGGTGACTCCCTTTCCTACCAAGGTAGGGCCGGGCTATCTTTGTGTAGTGAGCTAGCAACATCCTCCATTAGACTGTGAGGTCCAGACAGGGAAGGGACTCCTCTCTTTCTCACCCCTGTATCTCTTGATCCCAGTATGGGCTTTGACACAAAGAAGATGCTAAGTGAGTATGATGATTAGTAAACAAACACAGGACTCCAGGCCCAGGGAGCAGCAAGGGAGTCAGGTGAGGTGGTCTGGGTGGCAGCCTGGGTCCCGGGATCTAAGCTCCACTTTCCATGCCCAGTCTGGCTTTCTGGTCCACGCCCTTCCCCGGGGCACCCTCACCTCGGCACACTGGCCTGTGGTCGCTCCAGGCTGCAAACATGTCGCTCACTCTCATGCAGGTGATCCGCTTGGACCCTTGCAGGTCATAGCCCTCGTTGCAGGTGAACTGGACACTGGATCCTAACCTGGGAGACAAGATGTGTCCGTGAGCTCGATCCCCAGGCCTGCCAGTCCTGCCCCGAGTCCTTCCTGTTCCATGAGGAAATCCACATGGATGGACCACTCTCACTGCTCCCGACCTTAACCTCTCCTCCACTGCTCAATTACTTAAAAATCTCCATTTGAAGGAACATCTGCTCTTCCACTTCCTTTTTTGGACCATTTAATGGTTTTAGGATTGAGTTAAAAGGTGACTTTGTGAGCAAAATGGGGATCCTCTGAGATAAGTATCAATTAGGGCAGCTAAGAGTGGGCGGATGATGCCCATAACTCTAATGAAAATGGAGGGTTATGGAAAAATGCCTTGAGAGTCAGAAACTCTGCAAAATGCGCCACCTCAGGGACCTGGAATCTTCTAGATGATCACGGGTCTGCTAGCGTGTCATTACTGAGAATGACAGCCTCTATATGCTGGCTACACAGGCAGTCTATCCCTTCCCCGCCCCCCATAAGACATGGACTCCGTACCAAGGGCTGGACCAGGACAGAACACCCAAGGCCACAGTCTACTCCAGAAAGGTCTCTGTCTCCATGCCATCACCTCCACTCCCTCCCTCTCCCCCAGGAAGGCCCTCATCTTGCGCCCCCCACCCCCAGGCCAGCACACGCTTGTGACCAGAAGGTTCCCCAATCGATCTTACCTGAAATCTGAGCCTAGTCTTTTGCCCCTTTCGGGTATGCCAGGGTCTGGACACATATTATGTCCTTGGGAAACACCAACCTGAGTTACTACAAGGCAAAAAACAGCACATACAGAGATGCAGAGTCACAGGGAGGCACCCGTCGGGGCAACGTCTCAGGGTGGGTGGTGGAGGCAGAGACAGAATGAGGCCCTGCTCTGCGGGGACCATGTTGGGTGGCTGAGGTCTATCGGACTGGGGTTTCCTGAGTGTGTAAGGTGGGGAGCTGCTTTGACAAATGCCTTTGCAAGTCCAAGTGAAATTCATCCAGGAGCTTGTGGCTCAGAGACAGGCCCCGCCCCCATACCAACAGCCACTCCGTTCCTTTGTTCATCCCAGTGGCCAGCTCCTGGTGACCTCCCCACCCTGTGCTTCAGACCCCGGGAGTGGAGACTCTACATGGGATGAGCCCCCCGACCCCAGCCCCAAATGGAGAAATGACTCAAAGAAAGTGAAATAAAAGGTGGATGCATGGTCAGAAACGGTAAAGAATGTAAGAGAAAGCTGCAGTCTGGAGTTCAAAGCAAGGACTTGAGCTCAAATACAGGTATTTTCTTCCCATCAGACACTTCTCAAACCACAGTAAGCAGTCACCAGAGTACCCTCCCCCAGCTATTCCAACGCCACGGCCAAGGGCACTGAGCAGAGATGGCACCTGTGACGCTTCTGGCAGGCGGTGAGATGCTCTGACACCTGCCGACGCCAGAGTCCTGTTTACAAGAACCATATGCACAGCCGTCTGGGCTAGAGAAGGAACGCGGTCCAGGGGCGGCGGACACAGACGCGGAGGGGAGGGCGAGAGGCCCCGGCCCTGCCTTTTGGTTTTTCTCCAACGCTATGGTCAGACTGCTGAGGCTGGAAGCCCTCACACCTCTGCATTCCTGGCTTCGAGGCTGACCAGGAGCTCTGGCCAGAGCAGCCCCATTCAAGGACTCGCCAACCCCCAGCCCCAATTCCAACAGTAACATCTGGTCAAGGGAGTATGGGGTGACTGGAGCAAGCCCCTTCCCAAGTTTGCCCAATCCCTTCCCCTCCCCTTCCATGTCTCAGAGCAAGCACCCCATCACCCGACCACCCACTCAGTCATTCCCCCATATGGGTACACAACAAGCATTCATAAAGCACCTACTGTGCACAAGGCCTTCTGGATACCACGAGATATGACCACTGTCCTCTAGGAACAGCCAGTCGGGTGAAGACACGACACATGGAAACAAACCACAGGGTCACGATGGGGAGAGACAGCAAGTACAGGAGTGCCAGAGGGGAGGCCCAACCTCACTGCTGGGAGAAGTGCGGATGCCTGTCTGGGACTGTGTCTTGCACACACTTCCGAGGAGGTAGGATTTGGAATGGTGGTGACAGAGGTGACTGCGGCAGGCAGAGGCACACGGACACAGAGCTGGGGGTCTCTCAGTGTGACCGAACGAGAGACAGTGGTGAACAACGGGGTGACGGGGTCTAGAGGTCAGACTTTTAAAGAAGGGGACCCACGGAAGAATCCTGAGTGGGGTCAACACCCCGGGAGGCGCGGATTGCTCAGGCATAGGCTGGATATCTCGAGACGAGTTAGAGAGGCCCATGATTGTCCAAGTCAAGGACAATGAGAGGCCAACCGTGGGGTAGAAAGAGATGGTGGAGTTGGCTGGCAAAGAAAGAATCAGCAGGCTCCACGAAGGACCAGGGCACGATGCGGGAAATGGGTTCCCAGGCCTGGAGACACATGAGGATGCAGGTGGCAGAAGGCAGCAGGGCCGGGGGAGTCCCATCCCCCACTTGCTCAGTCCAGAACTCGTTTCTGCAGACAGAGGCCTCCTGAACACCGAGTTCAAACCTGCAGGCGAGCCCCGGGTGGGGCCAGCCCAGGGAGATGCAGGCCCCAGGCAGAGCAGGTGGCTCAGGCCAGGCAATGAGCGCGAGTCCCCCCACGCTGCGTTTCTCCAACTTTCCACCTCGCCAGGTGAGTGCCAGTCGTTCCCATGGGACCTGGGCCCTTGTTCCCAACCCTCTCCCTTTCCTTGCCAAGCCTCTACCTCTACAGATTTCACATCCTCAACTTAACAAAGCCCTTGTCCCCACCAGTGCAGAAACCTCAGGCCGGGAGAGGAAGACTGAAGCACCGGTGCCGAGGCAGGGCAAGCTCCTGCCTCTTGGGAACCCAAGTGATGGATAGAAGGAAGAAGATAACTGGGGCCAGAGAACCCCAGTGGGTAGGAAGGAGAGAGGAGGCTCTGTTTTCAGAAGGTGAGGAAGACACACTTGCTGCTCTACCTGGTTTACCACCAGCCACCCCCTACAGCCTCGCAGGATCAGTCCCTACCGTGGGCTTCCAGACTAACTGCCCACCTTCTTGAGTTGCTGCCTGCTCAACCCTGCCCACAGACCACACCCATCCCGAAGTCCCCGTTGACCACCACAGGGAATCACCCAGCCCCCTCGGAGCATGGTAAGAATGCCTGGGCGACTCAGCCCCCAGCTCCTGCCCTGGGAGGCAGACAGAGCAGCAGGCTGAGAGACAAGAATGGGGCTGGACCAGTGAGGAGAGACTACTGCAAAACCCTCTTGGACAACAGCCCTTGACCTACACAGCAGACCCCACGGCCTCCCCTTCAGTCGTGAGGCTCAGGAACCAGCCACGGAGTTACAGACCCAGCGGTGACGCAGCTCACACCCGGCCGGTACCCCCCTCTGCAGAGGGCTGAGCAGGCGATGGCAGTCCCAAGAGGAAGTTCAAGGCCCCTAGGAAACAAGCAACCTCAAACCCCAGTGAATGGTTTCTTGTATGAATTACATTCCCCCACCCCCCGATTCTCTGTTTAATCCCAGCCTTCACTGCCTATTCAAAACCAGCCCGTGTGCTTCCAGCATTAGGCCCCAGCAGGGTCCCTATGGTGTGGGAAAGGCCATGGTTTCTGCCCAAAGTGAAGAGAGCCATAGACAGCTGGGTGGCCAGGACCAGTGGCCAGGGTCTGTGGTGCCCACTGTCTGGTAAGGGTAGTAAGTGGGGCCCACTGCTCCGCCGAAGTCCAGAGCAGTTGTCCTTGGGGAATCCAGGCAGAACACAATGGCCAGACACCACCTGCACACATTTGCTCCCTGCCTCCAAGCTGTTGGAATCCCATCCCTGGCCCTTCACAGGAATCTTAGGAAGGAAAACTAATGCCTTTTTAGTGGAGAGACGCACATTTTTTTTGCAAAGAGTATTTGCATTATTTCATTAGAATTGGGTTTTTTCATCTTTTCGAGGGAGCATGGGCATCTCTACATAGCGAATGAAAACCATGGATTCGCCAGAAAAATCCATGTGCAACAGCTGGTTCATGGGTTGTTGAAGTCCTAGGTTACAAAGACCCAGCTGAGATCCAACCCACCCTTGGGAAGAAGGCAGGGTAAGATTTTGCCTTCCTAGTCTCCAGATGTAGCCACTGGGACAACACAACTACCTGGGGATGCATCTGAGATAAACACTTGCACTCGTAAATCCAGGCTATCTCCTTAAGTTTACTGGTGCCTCCAGGATAAAATCAGAAATGAAGTCATGCCTGCCTTGGGTCACCTGGTTTCCTGTGGCTACAGCAAGAGTCTGTGAGGGTCCTGGTCAGAGCTTGAGCCTTCTCGGCAGATTCCTAGCCTGACTCTGGACTCTCCAGGGTGCTGCCCCTTCCCTTGACCTCGTGGTCAAGCACAGAAGCAGGGCCTCCTGGCCACCCCTGCCATCCAGTTCCTCAGGCTGGACCATCAGAGATGCAGGTCTCCAACTGCACCCAAGAGCCTGTCTGTGGTCCCCTCTCCACTTGGAAGACTCATGAGGCTGGTGCAAATCCCCACACCCAGGCTCTGTTCACCTGGGGCCCAGGATCCAACAGCCTCACACCCTCCCTTCTCCTGGCCACAGCCACCAGCACGGAGCTCTGGGACTACCAGGGATCTCCCCTCAACAAGTGCTTTTGGCATCTCAAGGCAAGTGAGCATGCGGAGGGAGAGTGAAAGGGTGAGGGGCGAGGCAGGCACTGACAGGGGTTGGGGGGCAGAGTACGAGACGGGGAGGAAAGGGAAAGAAAGGAGACAACGTGGAGGCGGAGAGAGGGCCAGAGAGGGAGCCAGGGCAAAGGAAGGGGAGAAGGAAGACCGCAGGGTCGGTCCCTGGGCACAGGGGCAGCCTCCCTCATTCGCCTGCAGGTGGGGGATGGAAAAGGCTCCCTGCTTGCCAGTCCAGCTTCCAAGGGTGACCCAGGACCTTCCCAGGCCCTTCCCACGCTCTTACTCAAAAGCCCCCCAGCACAGCCATGATCAGGTGCTCCTCAGGGTGACACTCCGCAGCCACACCCCCGCATCAGACCCCTTGTCATCTTCCAAACACACACGGCAGGAGCAACGTTCTCAAAGGCGCCGTCTTCCCAGTGCCCAAGCAGGAGCCACCCGGCACGTCCCCACCAGCCCGAGAGACAGGAAAGGGACCCCTGGAGCAGGTTCTAGGCATTCCCCACCCTCCCCTTCCCAATCTGGCCTTGGGAGCCGGAACTGGGCCCAAGAGCCCGTCAGATCCCAGGCCGAGGTTATTGACTCCAAGGAGAGGAGCCAGAAAGAGGCCCGACTTAGCAGGTGGAAGTGACTCAAAAGGAAAAATAAAGAGAGAAATGTAGCAGTAATGACTCCCTGGAGTGCAGTTCGAATGGGAAGTGAGGGAGGAAGAGGAAACGGCAGGGAGATGGGCGGAGGAGAGGGGAAGGGCAGGTCCCGGGCTGCTGGCTGGCTGCCACCGTGCATCCACGTGCAGAGGCTGGGGTGCAGGGAAGTCACTCCAGCACCGTCTGGCTTCCCGCTGTCACTGCTTTGCAGTGTGACCACGAGCAAGGGGCCCGCGCGGGCGGACACTTACACACAGATGTCTTCTGGTTGTTGTCTTTGCTCGGCATCAGCTTCACGCCTCGGGACTTCAGCTCGATCTGCTTCTTGACTACAGAGGAAGGAAGGACAATGGTGTAAGCTGTCTGCTGTGGGCAGGGACAGGAGTCCCTCCAGAAGGACCCCCCTCTTAACAGAAGCTTGGGACACTGCAAGGTGGGTCAAAGCCAGGAGCTCCTCTGCTCAGGGACAGGGACACACGAGGCATAGTGTTCAAGTACAAGAGGGTCTCAGACATGGAGAAAGCTGCTATCAGGGCTGGCCACCAGGGGGGAGGCAGAAAAAGTGGCAGGTCTCCCGCCCGGTGGCTGCTGAAGGGGTCTGCGATTCTCCGAGTGGCTTCTCCAGATGTCTGAGATTCATCACTAGGACCGACTTCAGTCAGCTCCCAGCTGACCTCACGAGCATCTATGCACGAAGCTGTGTACTGCCCTTTCCACCTGCCTTTTTATGGGTTCTTGCCTGACCCATCCCTCATTTCTTTTTTTTAAACAGAAACATTTATTTGAGGGACAGAGAGAAAGAGAGAGAGAGAAAGGCCATTCCCATTTTCCTACTTGAACTTCCCAAATGCTTGGGTGGCTTTGTGAGGGGCTAGAACCAGGAGCCAGGGACCCAACCCAGGTCTCCCGTGTGGGACATGGGAACATAACTACTTGAGCAGTCACCTGCTGCCTCCCAGGGTTTGCATCACCAGGTACACTGGAATCGGGAGCTGGAGCTTGGGATCAAAACCAGGTACATCTTAGCCACTAGGCCGAAAGCTCACTCCATGCCCTGCCCAGTTTCTGAACCAGCCATGACCGGGGAGGGTAGATTGGGTTATGGGCCCAAGCTGTCACACTTTCCACTAGCCACACCTTACAAAACGTGATCGGGTAGTTCCTCCTGTCGCTCCCCCTCTTCGTGGAGGAACGACACTAAACCCTGCCTAGGCTTCATATCCGAGTCACGGCACCATTATGTCGCTCCCCCTCTTCGTGGAGGAACGACACTAAACCCTGCCTAGGCTTCATATCCGAGTCACGGCACCATTATGTCGCTCCCCCTCTTCGTGGAGGAACGACACTGGACCCTGCGCTGTTCTTTCATCTGCTCGGCCCTCCCCGGGTTTGCTGCTGGTTCTTCCCGGGTTGGCTACTGTCCCTTCCACCTCCGTGGAAGGGCAGTTCCCCCCGGCCACATTCCCCACTTCCGCAGGGGAGCGGCACACCGCCGGCCGGCTCTCTCGGGGGCTGCACAGGTGTTCCCCTTAGATGTTCCTGGTGCATGCCGTCTCTCTCCTCCTTTATAGTCCTCCTCTGCCAATCCCAACTCGGCTGCCCATACGCCGAGTACGCTGCTCTCCTCCAATCAGGAGCAAGTCCTACAGCTTATTGGCTGAACTGGAGGCAGCTGTGTAGAAGCTGTTTTCTTCTCTCCCAGCGCCATATTGTGGGAGAGCAGATGCATAGAATAAGTCTTAATTCCAGTAACTTAGTCTAGTCCGGGTTGCTCCCCACACCTCCCATTACAGACCTGGAACATTTGGATTTGGCCATGTGTCTTTGAAAACACACAGGCCCTGTCATGCCAAAGGCTTGAAAAACACCTTCTGGATGGGGCTTGCCCTCTTGCATCCCCAGCTTCACAAGTGAGAAGATTCACTCGGTCCCGGGAGGAGGAAACACATGTGGGGCCAAGCCAGTTGGCCCAGCGAACACAGCCCATGTCTGCCAACCTACTGTATGGGCGGGGAAGCTGAGTCTTAAGGGTCACCAGGTGGGCCGGTGCCTGTCTCAAGTGGGACCCTGGGGGATTAAAGACAATGTTTACTGTGTCCATAATTCATCAGTTCACCCAAAAGCACAAAAATGTGCCAGTGCCAGAACTGTACAATCTCCATGGCCTTCCCTCCCTACCTGTCAATGTCCTTTGGTCTGACTTCCTCTGTTCCCCAAACCATGCTCCTGGATTCCGGAGACTTCACCCCATCTCAGGGTCTATGCCTTGGTGTGTCTGTGCAATTCCAGATGTGCTATGCTATCTTCCAGCTGACCCCTAGTCAGAGTGACACCCAGCAGTAGCAATCACAAGCGTGACCAGGCACTTCCCGTGTGCCAGGCCCGGGTGCTTGGCGAGCTCTTTATTCAGCCAGCACCCTTGACTCCTCTCTGTCACATCCACACACAACCCATTAACAAATCCTCCCAAATATATCTCCAGGGCAGTCTCTTCCCACAGCGTCCATGTGGTCCACGATCTGGTCTACACCTCCAGTACATCTGCCCTTGTTGCTGTGACCTCTGGCCTGCACCCCATGCTCTGGTGTAGATTGTTCTCAGTGCGAGAGCCGGAGGGGTGCCATTAGGACATAAACCGCACCGTGCTCCACCTCTGCTCAGAGCTCTTAGCGGTAGCCAGGTTCTCCTGTTGTAACAGCCGTCTTTAAAGGGCCCGCAAGGAGCAGCCTGCCTTGTCCACGACCCCTCTGGCCCTGTCTTTGACCTCCATCATCCTCTCCAGCCTCATACACCTCCTGATGCTCCTACAATGTGCCAGGCATATTGCTTCAGCCTGCAAGCAACCAGGAATGCCGTGCCCAGACATCTCACCCATTTTTCTCTCGAAGTATCTGTGTCACTTCCTCACTGAGGCCTCCCCTGACTACTCTGTTAAGTCCACACCCCTAGCCCCACTCTCCCTGCCCCTTTCCCTCCTTCATCTCCCAACTTCCCAATATTTCCTGATTTTTGCCACCCCCACCCATGTAATGCGAGCTCTAGGGAGGCTGAGGTGTTTATCCATTGCTTCATCCTTCAGATTCAGCCATCCCTCACTGAACTCTTCCTCCTGGGGTCCCAGTACTGGAGTAGGGGGCAGGGGAGGGCTATCTGTGACCACTCTTTTGAGGTTGGCTCTGCAGAAATGGCTCAGGGCAACTGGCCAAGCTGTAGCGGTGAAGCCAGAGTCTTCAGAGGTCGGAGGAAGGGGATGTAGATGGGGACCAGAGCACCAATGCCACTGCCAGGGGCACCTGCTGCTGGGGTTTGCTCTGTAGCTGCTGTTGGGGGACAGTGAGATGCCCCTGGGCATAAGGAGGGTTATTAAGAGGGAGCCCTGCTTCCTCTTCTGCAGGAGGCATTGGAAAAACGTCTTCTGGCTTCTCTCCCCTCATGGCCTCAGAAGGAAGCCCCTGGCTTCTCTGTCCAGCCTTTCACTCCTTCCTCCTGGGAAGAAAGGTCTCACTGATGGGGCAGCACTCAGTACTCACGGGGATGCTTTCAGCAGGGGATGTGTCCTTGCTCTTCCCAAGCAGAACTAACTTCCCTTCTTCCTCTTCCACTTCCTGCAACTGACACGGGCAGCGGCTGATCACGGTGATGGGAATGGAATGAGAAGCAGCCTGCAAAACTCCTGGGGCCCCTTAATTTACATGTAGCCCTTGTGACTGCTGGCTCCTTCGAGCTGTCTCTGAGAGGCTGCATCACCCACGAAGGCACCACATGGCCATCAGCTGCACAATGGAATCCACACAGAAATGATGTCCCCAGGCTGAGAAATACAGGGCTCGCAGCTGTTGGGACGGGGGTCCTCCTACCAACAACACAGTCTTTAAAAGATGTGGGAGGGGACTTCTTCCAAAGTCCATAGAACATGCATAAAAGAGTTTATTGTGGTGCAAAAAAAAAAAAAAAAAAAAAAGATGAAAATCCCCATACAATATTATAATTTTTCTATAATATACATTTCCCCTAAACTTTCTGAAGACCCCTCAGATGCAAAAATTTCCAAATTTTTGCACCCAAATAAACTTCTTTTTTAATTCTGCTTTCCATGAGTTTTTTTTGAGATCTTTTGGCACATCTTGATCCGTCTGACCCTGACTCAGGCCTGGGGAAGGTGGAGCCTGTGCTTGGCCCACAACGAGCAGAAGCTGATAAACGGGTCATGAGACTTCCTTGGATGGGGCTAAGTTCTAGGCCAGAGCCACATGTCAGCTTCCAGAAACCACCTGCAGATGCTAGGGCCTCAGCTTTTGGGCAACCCCAGGGAGGTGGACACAACCTAACTGGGTTTTTAAACAGTCTGTCCAGGGAGGTGGAGAGGGACCATGAACTAGGGCACACTATGGGACACCAGCCAGCAAATGAGCTCATGGAGGAGCTAGCATGATAGACTTGGACAGACCTGGGCATGAAGGCTCAGAGAACAAGGGCAGTGCTCCCAGTGCATCCCCAGAGTGTACCAGCAACAGCCCCCGTCAGAAAGGACGGTCACACGAAGCAGATGGATGGAATCACAAGAACCTAGAGAACTTCGATGTTTGTTTGTGTTGTTTGTATACTCATTCATCTATGGAGTGTCTGCTAGACTTGTGCCAATAATACTACACTGACGCGCTTTTAAACAGAGGAGACTGTAGTAATCAATACAGTAGAGATAAACAGTGCCTGGGGCTGACCCCGTGGTTCCTGCCACATATGAGTGCTTGCTCCTACCCCAGTGCACACACATGTGCACCCATCCAGGTGCACGTGCACATTCATGCACATGTGAACACACAGCCAGTCACGTACATGTCACACACATGCACATGCCTTTTTTTTTTTTTTTTTTTTTACTTATAAGAACAAAGGCAAGATTCCCAAGAGACAAGTGCTGCCTCTAACTGGCTGATGAAAATCTTACTAGGTACATTCATCTCCTCCAAATGATAATGACTACAGGAGACTGCCAGTCTGCTCCATTCATCCTTTATATTCTGGTTAATTACAAGACATTTCCCCGCTGTTGTAAAGGTTAGCGGGACACATGGTACGCATTTAGCTAGAAGAATCTGGCAATACAAATGGTTCTCTAGACTGCAGCATGAGTTATGGGACTGAGCTAGCGGGAGACAAGGACCTGTTAGGGCAGTGTCTTGAAGGCTCCAGGAGTCAAAAAGGGGATGGGTTACGCAGATTCTTTCCACCCCAATAGATGCAGACTTCCCTCCTGAAGGGTGAGCTCTTCCGTTAATTTCGGTCTCTCCCTTCTCTCTCCCTGCCAAACTGGCTGTCCTGCTGGCTG